TAGATACAAAGCCACATGTGACATTTGAATAGTTGCTACATGGAACGACGGTTCTATGTGTGATGTCTGGGCCACAAAACTGTCAGTCTAGATATTGGGCAATCAAAAAGGCTTTCTAGAACAGAAGGGATTCGAGGCCCACTTATGGGAGAAACTGATAATACTAATCCTAAGAGAATATTGAGTTCAAAACATGAAAATATTGACAGAGGCAAACAGAAAACCTATGAGACTGAAATCTGCCTCAGTAAAAATTGATGTGCTCCCTATTAGTAGTATCTATTCCTTTGTTCTTTCCTCTAGCACATGTACCTTTATTGATTCAGAATTATTATCAGAAATGCTGCTGCTCAGACAGCCATGAGAACAACATTGTGAATCTATAGTTGGAAGTCTGCAAATGGGAAAAAAAAACTGCAATATTGATCAAACAGAAATACAACTGATCCTAGAATGTGGCATATCTATTATGCTCTTTTTTTATCCAATGACTTTAACCCCTTCTCATTTTACTCCAAAGTGCACCTTTAGATCGATCTCTTGTGCAATCAGTTTACCTAATTTTCCTGTGTTATTACTTCCAGCAAGGTTCATGCATTTTTCTGCAGGTACTTTTCGTGTTTCACAATGGGACTATACATCTACAGACTTCAAAGTTTGCACATCACATTTACTGAAATGATGCAAGAAGATAACAAGAGCTGCTATCAGAGTCAGAGTCAATACAGTGTGGAGCTGGAGGAACACAGCAGGTCAGGCAGCATGAGAGGAGCAGGAAAGTCGACCTTTCAGGTTTATACCCTTCATTAGGGCTGGGGAAGGGGAAGGCAGCTCGGAAATAAATGGGGGGGTGGGGCTGGGGGAAGGTAGGTAGGACGGTGATAGGTGGATGCAGGGACAGATTAGTGCAGATTGGCTAGTGGGAAGGGTGGGGCGGATAGGTGGGGAAGAAGATGGACAGGTTGTGTCAGGTCAAGGAGGCGGGAATGAGAGGGAGGCTTGGACATGGGGTGAGGTCAGGGTTGGGGAGAGTTTGAAACTAATGAATTCTATGTTGAGGCCATTGGGCTGTAGGCTCCCAAGGCGAAATATGAGGTGTTGTTCCTCTAGTTTACGTGTGGCATCATTGTGACACTGGAGGAGGCCCAGGATAGACATGTCACCCAGGGAGTGGGAGGGAGTGTTAAAATGGTTCGCAACCAGAAGGGGCTGTTGATTATAGTGTACGGAGCACAGGTGGAGTCTGTGCCTGGTCTCACTGATGTAGAGGAGACCACATTGGGAGCAACGGATACAGTAGACCAGGTTGGAGGATGTACAGGTGAAGCCCTGTCGGATTTGGAAAGATTGTCTGAGGCCTTGGATGGAGGTGAGCGGGTAGGTGTAGGGGCATCTCAGCCACATCTCTTGCATTTCCCGCACTTCTGCCCTCAAAACCCTCCCCCCAACAAACATAAAGACAGAATCCCCTGGTCCTCACATACCACCCCACCAACCTCTGCATCTAATGTATCATCCTCTGCCACTTCTGCCACCTATAATCCGACCCCACCACCAAAGAGATATTTCCTTGACCACCCCTATATGCCTTTCATGGGGACTACTCATTCTATAACTCCCTCGTCTGCTCCACACTCCCCACCAACCCCACCGCACCTGGCACCTTTCCTTGCAACTGCAGGAAGTGCTACACCTGCCCCTACACCTCCCCCCTCACCTCCATTCAAGGCCCAAAGCAAACTTTCCATATCCCACAGGATTCACCTGTACATCCTTCAACCTGGTCTACCGTATCCGTTGCTCCCGATGTGGTCCCCTCTACATCAGTGAGACCAGGCGCAGACTCCATCTGCGTTCTATACGCTATAATCAACAACATCTTCCAGTTGCCAACCATTTTAATCCCACCTCCCACTCCCTGGGTGACATGTCCATCTGAGCCCCCTCCAGTGTCACAATGATGCCACATGTAAACTGAAGGAACAACACCTCATGTTCCGCCTCGGGAGCCTACAGACCGATGGCCTTAACATAGAATTCACTAGTTTCAAGATCTCCCCACCCCTGGCCTCATCCCATGTCCAACCTTCCCTCTCATCCCCACCTCCCTGACCTGACACAACCTGTCCATCTTCTTCCCTACCTATCCACCCCACCCTTCCCACTGAGCAATCCCACAACCCTCTACCTGCATTCACCTATCACCATCCCACCTACCTTTTCCCAGCCCCACACCCCCCATCTATTTATTTCCAAGCTCCCTTCCCCCTCCCTAGTCCGGATGAAGGGTGTGAACCTGAAACATCGACATTCCTGCTCCTCTGATGCTGCCTAACCTGCTGTGTTCCTCCAGCTCCACACTGTACTGAATGCAAGAAGATATTTGCTAGCATTTATAAAGCCATCACATCAATACAAATGTTTCAAAGAATCCAACTCAGTGAGATGGCTGCACTGTGCAGTTCGGACGACTCATTCTATGCTAATAAATTATTAATGACAAACAATGTGACAAATAACCAATTAACAACAACAGAAACAGAAATTGCTGGAAAACTCAGCAGGTCTGGCAGCATCTGTGGAGAAAAATCAGAGTTAACATTTCAAGTCTGGTGACCCTGCCTCCTGGTGTGGAAGTTACACTGAGGTAACTTATTCCCTTAACTGCTCTGAACAAACTCCTCTTACGAAGAGAAAGTAACCAATTAATCTGTTTGTCTTCAAATACTGTAAAGGGTTCCTTAGCCCTGGCCTGAATCTTTAGAAAGAAGGAGACTTCAGCATACACTTAGAGGAAGGATAGCTGTGATGACAATGCAGCACTCAGTGAATGTGACACCAGAGTGCCAAAATTAACAATGTGTTCAAAATCCTCATTTACACAGCTCAGCAAGGAGTTACATTGAAATGTCAATCCATAATTTACAAACAGGAACTTCCCAGAATCAAAAGGTGATTAATACAAAATACAAATGGAGATCGTTCAGCCCATTATGTCTGTGCTTTCTCTCTGCAAGAGCAGAGCGAGTCACGTGGCCAGGTTTTAATTTTAACTGAGCTAGTACTGTTTTAATGATAACATTTAAATCTCTAAGTATGTTTTCCAATCTGATTTCCTCCAATGAGTGTTTCCAACTCCAAAGATGGCAGTCGCTTAAATGCTTGAAACTTACCGATGCTTTGCTGAAACATTTGTTTTCATCGTTTGGAATGTTTGAGCTCATCAAATGCAACTTCTAATTGTACAACGCTATATTGCACTGAACCACCACGACATGGGACCCACCAAAGTTGACACTGATCCTAGCCAAGTTCTTAACTTTCAAAATGTGCACTTCCAGCAGGAATCAGAAAAATCTGACTGTTTTGAACCTGTCTGTCTCACAGCCCTCTCTTTATCCAGCTCCCTCCCTTTTCCTCTCTTGTCCCCTCTTTCTCCAGAACTTCAACATCGAGTTGTGATCAAAGCAACTGAATACATTCCTGGACAAAAGGGAGATATTAATACTTTATTGCTCTCATGGGAAAAAAAGGAATTGTTTTGAAAACTTTTAATTGTAAAACACGAGAAAACAAATGCTAGTTGATTTCTTTGTACTCTGTTCAGATATATAGTAAATATTGAAGTTTTGAAACTCACAATCCTGTGATGCAGCCTGCACTATATCTAATGCAATAGCTTTCACATCATGTGTAAAGCATTCCATCCCATGAGTGCATTATCTGCAGACATGTCCTTGGACCATCATCTGCTGTCACTTCACCCTGAGCTATTTTCTTGGCAGCGTTGTTTGTCATCCTTTGTCACTGCCTCCCACTTGCAGAGCTAGGTCGAAGAGGCATGTCACAAGTCTTCCTCAGACAGAACAGGAATGGAACCTGTCTGTTGATCTTATTCTGACCTTATTCTGAAGCAACCTCTGGCCATCTAAGCTAATCAGTTCCCATGTATAATGTATACACTGACAAATTATTTTGGGTAAACATTGGATTACTTATCGTCAGGAACTCTCTGAGCAGAGAACACTGAAGCTCATGTGAAAATGTGTCAAGGCTAGTCTAGTGAAAATATCGAGCATCATTGCATTGTTTTTCAAATCTTTTGTTAAAAATTGGTCTTGCGATCCCACCGTTTAAGGATGGATCACATATTAAAGCTGATTTCAATCATTTCTTTACGCTTACATGACGAATTGTATTTTCAGAGTGACTTCTTGGGTACTTTCTGAAAAGTTATGAGCACTGCTTACTTGGGACCTTTGGTGCGTGCATTGTTCTCATTCCACACCTCTGACGAATTTTGTTATTTTGAAATCAGTTGCAAAAATACAATTTTCTGCAGGCGGCTAGGAGACTGCAAAGTGGAATATTGCCCCTGGTGTTACAGATGTGAAGTCAAGTGTGTAATAATGGCCTTCAAACATCTTAACACATTCTTGGCTTCTGGTAGTAAAGTTCTTGCATCAATACTTCACCCCTGCGCTCATTCACTCAGTTATATTCACAACTCTGGTCAATATTTGTCTAAAACATCCATTTTCAGGCAATGATCAGCTTGGGTAAAGGGAATGACCCTATGCCATTACCTCTCCTGATTAGATCTCCTGAATTTCTATATAGAGGTAGGTACACGAAGAAACAATGTAGGAGCAGTTTATTGGAGATGCTGGAATCTGTGCTGAAAATAAAAAAAAGAGCTGGAAATCAAGAAACAAAATGTGAAAGTTTGAGGTGGCAGTGCCATTGAGAATTCGTATCAGCCAGGAGAGGGAAGAGCTATTGGAGGAGCCGCACTGTTGGTATGGATTGGAGTGAACCTGTTGCAGTCTGAGATCCTGCCCTAGTTCAGCTGGAGGTGGGAGGTGCCCTTTTAGATTGCTTAGGGATTAAACAGACAGGAAGCCCCCCCACCCCCGATCACAGAGCCGGCAAGCGGGTTACCTCAACACAGTTCGAACAGGCTGCTCGCTCACTCCCTGGGCTTTCAGTCTGACTGAAAGCAGCAACGTCAGCCCTTGATTCCGCCTTTGATGTGAGAGTAGCCTGGAAGCGCTCTAAACCCATCGATCGCCCAGTCTCACTAACAACTCCAATCAGGTAAGTCGCTTTTCCCGAGGAAAGCAAAAGCTGGGAGTTCTTTTTGTGGTAGTCGAGTATTGGGGAGTGGGATAGAGACTTCCTTCAATTTGGAGACTGATTACTGAAAATACATATTCTTTTTGCGAGTTATTTGAGTCAGGGTCAATAATGATAATTGTATATGGTCGTTTCAGTGTTCCTGTTATTTACACGTTTCAGGGTCTGTGCGTAGGAAATAATTTTTTTGCGTGAAGTCTTGAGGGATTTGAGTAGTTTAATATTCTTTTGAGCTGCTTCATGGCTTTACCGCCTAACCCCATGGTGGAAAAGAGACAGGAGGAGGAGAAATAAATTAATGTATTAAAAATAATGTGCTCTCCGATGATTTGATAAACATCTGAGTTAGCTATGCAGAGCAATGAAATCCCAGATTGGATCAGTCAGTCTGTGATGTTTGCCAGTCTCAGGGATGACACTAGGGGACAGTTTTTATTGACATTCGCCCCCACCCATTATTTGTTACAGAGAGGAGTCAGAACCTTTGTGTCTTTTTGAATGAAACACTGAACTGAGGCCCAGTCAGCTGGACATTAACGATCCCAGGGCACTGTCACAGGGGAGTCACCTCCGAGGTCCTGGCCCTGATAATTTTTCCTTCAAAAGACATCAACACCAGCAGATTATCTAGTAATTATTGCAGTTACATTTGGGACCTGGCTGATTTGCAAAGGTTTGCATTTCCCATATCACAATTGTATCCCCACTTGCAAAATATTTAATCGGTTAGAAAGTGCCTCTGAGATCATGAAAAGTGTGATAGAAATACATGTCTTTTCCCTTGATGACTGTCTTGCTGATCATGTGTATAAGGACAGATGTGATGCTCCTAACAAGCAGCTTGTACCTCCTCAGCGCTGAGGTTCGTTTGGGAAAGCTCATCACTTGGTGAAGTAACTAGAAAAACCCAGAGATTACATGGCTGTCTCAGGAAAGGGGTGGGGATGGGGAGGATGCTATCCAAACCAGTACTGGGTCTATGGCAGCACAGTGTAAGCAGTGGGATTTCATTTTCCCACGGACAGTTTGTGGGTAGCCTATCCACTGGCCAGAATACCAGCCGGAACTCCGTGTCAGTCATATTCAGATGGTGCTGCCATCCCTTGAATTGGGAACAGGGTACCCTGGTAAATGCTTTGTGGTTGGCTCACATGACATGTTCTCCATTGGCCACCGGTTGAATTCCAGCGACAACGGGACAAGGCCCTTAAATGGCTACTTAAAAGTCACTGAGAGATGGTAAGAACTGCCGATGCTGGAGAATCTGAGATAACAAGGTGTAGAGCTGGATGAACACAGCAGGCCAGGCAGCATCAGAGGAGCAGGAAAGCTGACGTTTTCAGTCAGGACCCTTCTTCAGAAAAAAAACCAGAACTGGGTCTATGGGTCCTGACCTGAAACGTC